AAAAACTCCTCTCTACAAAAAAATACAGAAATTAGCCAGGCATTGTGGCACACACCTGCAGTCCCAGCTACTTGAGAAGCTGAGGTGGGAGGGTGGCTTGAGGCCAGGAGGTTGAGATTGCAAGTAAGCTATGATCACATCACTGCACCCCAGCCTAGGTGACGGAGCAAGACCCTGTCTCAAAAAAATAAAAAAAATTTGTCCATGTAGATGAGACATTGCTCCACAGTTTGCTACTCTTCCTCCAACAGAGGTGAAGTGTAAAAGACCTTTTGTCCACTGGCACCATTTTTCCCACAGCAGAAAAACATTTCTGTACCCCATATCCATCAAGAGAGAAAGCAAAAAAGTAAAAAGGGACCATGTAATTTCAGAAAAATAGGGACAGGAGGTACTTCTTGCTGGAAAGGGACTCCTTGGCACCTGTGTCACCTTCCTGGCCCCTGGAGGCATTTGAGTTTGCAAAGTTCTACATCATCTGTTGCTGCAAGAGCCTGCACTTTATATAGGGAGGTTGAGTGAAATCTTATTTTCATGTGGGACAAGGAGAATCTCTCGAGAGGTCTACAGCAATGATAAGCTCTTAGACACGACCAGAGGCCTTTTGGTACAGTAACCCCAGTTCCTTCACTCCATCTTTTGTCTAAAAATCCTTGTATACACTGGGATAAACCGCAGCAAGTCCAACTGGGTCTCTTAGAAACCATTCGATTCTCTAGCCTTGGAGGTCAGGGGCAAGCTCTTAGCCATAGCTTTGCAGGAACTACAGGATTCAGTGGGGAAGCTTTGAGCCCACACTGGTTGGAGCCTGCTTAGCTCAGTGAGCCTTGATTGGTTAAGAGAAAGAAAAAGCACATTTAATGTTACTATGTTTCATATTTGGAAACCAAGAGGGGGAAGGTTAGAAAATGTGCAGAAGCTAGTGATTCGCAAATGAGGAGGTATACATAACAGACTTTCTAAAGGAACAAGGATCTCTGTTTTTGTCAAAAAGGGATGGGAGTTTTATTTGGAGATTTCTCTTTGTTTTGTAAAAGCAAGGTGGTATCTAATAGGTAGGACCTTTCTCATGAGCCCCCAGATGCAGATCCTCAAGTTTGTTCTCTCTCACAGAAGATCATAGGAACATTCCTGGGGGCCCCAGAATCTGGAAGCAGCAAGTTCCAGAAGGTTTTAGGCAAAAGGAAGGGCCTAGAGTACAGCACCTTCCAGAACATTCCAGAACCTTCCAGAACAGCCTGTGTACGTTCAAGCAAAAGGGGTGAATGATTTTTTTAAAACTGTTCAACTTTAAGCCTTACTGTGACCCACCCAGAACTGGGCCCACTCCACTCTGGGGGTATCCATCCTCACCTGCCTCTGGTCATTTTCAGGCTGGAGCTCAACACAGAGGGGTCTCACTCCCTGCCCCTCAAAAGCAGAATCAGCTCTGTGCAAGACGAGGTGTGTGGGAGGCCTTCTGAGGGACCCCATCTGGTTCCCATGGTAACACTTCTTCCCAGTCCCTCTCTTGTCCAAGTCTCAACTTTCTCTGCTTCTTACCTGCCCTGGGGAGGGGAGGCTGAACCTGGTAGCCGCTGCCTTATATATTTTTTTTTTTTTTAAGATGGAGTCTTGCTCTTGTTGCCCAGGCTGGAGTGCCATGGTGCAATCTCAGCTCACCAAAACCTCTGCCTCCCGGGTTCAATCAATTCTCCTGCCTCAGCCTCCCGAGTAGCTGGGATGACAGGCCGCCCACCACCATGCCCAGCTAATTTTTGTATTTTTAGTAGAGACAGGGTTTCACCATGTTGGCCAGACTGGTCTCGAACTCCTGACCTCGTGATCTGCCAGCCTCAGCCTCCCAAAGTGCTGGGATTACAGGTGTGAGCCACCGCGCCCGGCCAATTGCTGCCTTCTAAAGGCTGCTTCCCAATTCATGATAGTGGAAAAAGGCTCAGATCTGCCCAATCTTTGCCCCCTTTTCCCTTTTGGTTGCACATTCTACTCCATGTCCATCATGGAGGAACTGTTCACATCCCTCACTCTGGGCCCAAGTGATAGCACTTCCACCACCTGAATTATTGCTGGTTCCTCCAGGAGGTGTGGGGGAAAGGGGCAAAAAAAAAAAAAAAAAAAAATGTAGGGGGACCATGCATTTTCAGAAGAAAATAAAATGGAAGCAAGAGTACTTTTTCCTGGGATTGGACCGCTTTGCACTCTGGAAGCTTGGACCAGGAACCGGAGCCAGGGCAGGAGGGGCCAAGCCTGCCACAGACCATGCTGAGAAAGAGTCAGAGGAGAGGCCTTCCAAAGCTGCTCCTTCTTCTGTCAAATCAGCAGGAACTCAGCGGTTCTGGTGTCCCTCGGCCTCCAGCAGCTGAAGTGCCAGCAGAGAGGAGAGTGGAACCAAGACCAAGGTGGGATGGAGGTTCTGAAGTGGGCACTCTCAGCGCTTGGACTGTGTCCGTACTAGGCCTGAAGGCTCTAAGGCTCCCACAGCGCCGTCCCGCTGGCTAGTCTACAGACCTAGAAAGCCCATCAAGCAGTCGCTGCCCCCACATCATCAGGCATGGGGTCCATCCATCTCACAGAGCACCTCTGACTTTTTTTTTTTTGAGACAGTTTTGCTTTTGTCACCCGGGCTGGAGAACAGTGGTACAATCTCCGCTCACTGCGACCTCCGCCCTCCCCAGGTTCAAGCGATTCTCCTGCCTCAGCCTCCTAAGTAGCTGGGATTACAAGTGCCCACCACCACACCCAGCTAATTTTTGTATTTTTAGTAGAGATGGGGGTTTCACCATGTTGGCCAAGCTGGTCTTGAACTACTGACCTCAGGTAGATCCACCGACCTCAAGCCTCCCAAAGTGCTGGGATTACAGGCGTGAGCCACCGCGCCTGGCCTCATCCCTAACTTAAGGGCCTCAAATGGAGCCTAGATCTGTCTCCCTGTGGTTTCCACCCACTGGTCTTGACTCTGACCTCTGACTCTCGGTGACCCAGCCCTTTAGAGATTCAAAGTCTCAACATCACACACAAACACACATTTCAAACAGATCCCTCAACTGTTACTCACTGAAACCGTTCCTCTTTCTCATCCTTATTTCTCCAAAGGTGCCATTTGGTGCAGGGGTTGGGTTATCCCTCCTCCAGTATAAAACTTAAGTGAAAAGTAAACCCAACGCCTCTGTTTTTCCAGATAGTTATGTCCTTACTAACATGGACCAAGACCAAATTAGCTTTGTATGTTTCCACAAAACTGTGACTGTCCCATTTGGTTTGCAAGGATTTCCATGCCTCCCTGCCAAATGTCATGTCATTGGACTTGACCTGAGCTGACCCAGGGCATATCCCATCTCCTTGTCCCACACTCATCGGCCAATCTGGCACCTAGTGTTCCCCGGCTAAGGACAGATTCTATCAGTCCTGCGGGACACCCTCCATCGCTCCGTGGAGACCGTCATTTGGCAGGGCAGAAAAGGACCAGGTACCATCCTGATTGGGCTTACGATCGACCCAGGAAAAGAAGGTGCGTACAGGTGAGGCAATTGGAGAACCAAGATGGAGCAGTGTGCGCTTCTGACCAGAAGTGCTGGGAAGTTAAGATTTAGGAAAGGCTCTCATGGGTTGGTAATCAGAGAAGGCTCCACGGAAGAGGCGGCAGCGGTGTTGGACCCAGTCAGCTGGGCTTTGCATGGGCAGAAAGGAGGGGAGAGCATCTCAAAAGTAGGAAGTGGAAGCGCAGGAGCTGAGCCGTGGAGGCTGCAACAGCAGAGAGCAGTCCGGCAGCATGTCATCCTCATCATCACATTTATTGACGGCCCCTAAGAGGCGGGGCTGGGGACAGAACGTACAAAGACAAGGACCTGCCCTCAAAAAGCTTCCATTCTAAGGAGACAGGGACAGAAAAATACAGAATGGTCTTTCCTGGGGATGGCCCACTCTCACCTGCACAAGTCAGAAGCCCCTGGTCTACCTTGGCCCCAGGGTCTGGAGCATGTTCTGCCACGTAGCAGCCCCAGGGCCACCGTGTCCCTGGCCCCACAGCCAAGGCCTGACCACCTGGCTCCTAGGCCGTGGGCCTCAGAATTTGGAGGAAAGGTAGGCTCAGGACATGATGTAAAACACTCCTGGCAGCCTTGGCTTGGCGTTGTGTGAGCCCAGTGGAGTGATGGGGTGCGACGGTCCCCTTGGCAGGGCCCCTGGGGGGCGCAGGCATCTTCCCAGGCCCCCATAGGTGAGTCAAGTTCTTTTATGGGGCTGGTCCACCACCCTGGAGGCCCCGGGCCAGGGAAACAAAAAAGGCAGGGTGTCTTCAGCGCCAGAGGCATAACCCCCTGCCCACCCCCACCCAGCCCCCTCTAGGGCCTCATCCAGGCGACCCTCCTCCCCAGCTCAGCCTCCAGGGCCAGGGCCTGCCTGAGGCCGGGGGGAGGGGCCTGCCCCTCCCCCCACCCAGGCAGTGGGGGAGGAGGAGGAGCCACGCATCAAGTTTGTCTAGGACCCCCCACTGGGGGCCACACCCTGGATCCTACCGGTGGGGGGGCTCTGGCTGCGAGGGCCGAGGGCTCAGCAGAGGGGCCGGGCCGAGGGGGCACCCGGGGGAGCCCTTCAGTGGGGGCACTGGGCGGGAGTCCAAGGGGGGCAGGCTCCGGGGCACTGCTGGTGGTCCCCGGGCAGCCCCAGTGGGCAGGACAGCTGCAGCCGGGAAGGATTTGGGGGGATCGGCAGCCGAGGTGGGGGCCGGCTGGGCAGAGCGCTCCCGACGCCGCAGCAGCTCTTGCAGCTTCTCCGCCTGTGTCCGCCTCAGGTGGGCCAGGGCACGGCCACGCTGGAAGGCAGGCAGGAAGGCCTCCAGGCTTTGCTCCCCCAGCAGCAGCTGCTCCATCTGCTCCTGGGCCAGGAGGGAAGGGAGGGCTTGGGAGGGGCACGACCACAGACTGGGAGCTGGTCCTCACTCCCGCCACCCACCCCGAGACCCTCCCCATGGTGATCACCCTTCAGCTGGGGGACAGGGCACCTGTGTTCCAGCCTGGGCCTGCCTCTGACTACTTGCTGAGTGAACTGCAGACAAATATCCTTTTCTTTGAGACAAGAGTCTCACTGTCGCCCAGGCTGGAGTATAGTGGCACGATCTCAGCTCATTGCAACCTCCGCCTCCCAAGTTTAAGCAATTCTCCTGCCTTGGCCTCCCAAGTAGCTGAGATAACAGGCATGCACCACCACCCTCAGCTAATTATTTTTTTTTTAATTTTTAGTAAAGATGGGGTTTCCCCCTGTTGGTCAGGCTGGTCTTGAACTCCTGACCTTCTGGGTCAGGAACTCGTGGCCTTCTGGGGCCCACCACCTTTAGCTCACTGAGCACTGCCCTCCCAACCCAGCACAAAGTCTGCCCCTGCTCCTCTACAGCCCCAGATCCACGCTGCCCTGGCACAGTCACAGGGGACCCCGAAAAGTCACAGGTAGGAAAGTGAGCCCTGCTGGCTGTCCAGTGCTGGTGGACAGCAATGCTAGCCTCTCCTATGGGCCAGGCATTCAGGGTGGGCTTCCTGGAGGAGGTACTCCCTAGCCTTCGGTGTAAGAAATGAGCCCGGGAGTGGTGTAGGATGAGTCTCCCTCCTGGTCCCCAGCCCCAGCCACCCCTCCCCTCACCTCTGCCTCCTGCTCTGCCTCTTCTAGCTCAGCCTGCAGCCAGCCCAGCGCACAGTGGGGACTCCAGCGATGCATGCTCTCTTCTGAGGACCACAGAGGGACAGGGTGACAGGCCAGGGCCCCAGGTTTGCACGCTCCCACCAACCCCGTGTGATTCTACATTCCCCTTCCCCCTGACCTAGAACCTTAGTTTCCTCATCTGTATGGTGCCCATGTGACCGCTTTGTGGATCCCACCCCTACCAAGTTTCTGTCCCTTGTCCTATTGCAAAAGAGACAGTGGAGGCTTTGTCCCCCAGAGCAACTCAAAGGGACCCCTGGGTATTGGGTCCCCTTTCTCCCACCCAACCCTCCTCACTCCCTCTTGCTTCCTCAGCTCTATTGCCCAGGAGGCCAGGAGCAGGTCCACCCAGGTCCCATTCATCGGAGCCTGGCACTTTCCAAGGCCAACCCGCCAGAGGGCCCACTGCCCCCGCCAGCCCCAGGCGGCTCTCCCAGACATGCCCTCACCCAGCCGCTGCAGCTTGTCAGCGCAATTCTCGGCCACCTCGCGAAGTTCCTGGTATTTGATGGCCAGGGCAGCCCGGCCCATCTCCAGGCGGGGCCGCAGGGCCAGGTTCTCCTTGGCCAGCGCGTAGTTGGAGGCCAGGCAGGCCTCGCGCTCCAGCTGCAGGCCCTGGAACTGCGGGCAGAGAGGAGCTAAGAGGCTCACTCAGGGGCTCTGCCCCGTCCACCCTACTGCCATGCTAGGCAACCGTGCCTTCCGGCCTGGCCAGAGGCACCTGTCAGGCCCCAGCTTCCACCGTGGCGAACCCAACAGGTGAAGGGACGGCGACAGGCCGGGACCAGACACCCAGAGCAACTCAGGGGGACCCTGAGCTCCCTCTCTGGCCTCAGTTTCCTCTTTTCCAAATCGAGTTAAAAACATCCACTTACCGGGTTGTTGCAAGACTTAAGTGAGGAAAACTATAAAGGCCTCTACAAATGTTAGTTAATTTTTAATTTTTCAATTAATATGTCTGCTCAGGTCCCGGAGGAGTGCCCTCCCTCCTCTGCCCCATTTTCCACGCATGGACAGCTTCCCTCTCACTGCAGGCCTTTGTCTGTTTCCCCCTCAGGTGTTTGCACTGAAAACACTCCCACCCCCTGCTCATCCTCTCCAGAGGGATGTCCGCACCCTGTCCCCTCACAGCACCCCCACGGGTCACCCTCTCTCCCTTCCCACCCCCTCCTCTGCCCTCCAGTGGAATCCTCACACCCCAAGGAATACACACCCCCTTTTCCTCCCTGCTCCGGCTTACGACAGCTCCTGGCCCTGGAGAAGGCTTCTTCCTTGTCTCTAGCAGGGCCCAGCCTCCCCTCCCTGCCCCTGGAGAACGCACTCCCCTCCATCTGTCCCCTGTGGGATGCATAAGCCCCTCCTCGCCTGCCTGCTTTCAACACACACTTTCCCTTCCTGCCCCCCACAGACACCCAGCCCGGGCCTATCTCCCGTGAAATATACAACTTTCTCTTACGGTGGCCTATGCAATACACACGGCAGCTCCCAGCACCCCTCCCCAACGCCAGGCACAAAGCCCCCTCTTGCGCCCTCAGAATGCGTGGACCCCAACAACGGCCCCTCCAGGTGTCAAACAGGCCCCTAGTTCTCCCCGTGGAAGGCGCCTCCTCTTTCTGGCCCTTACAGATGTGGGTGTGCGAGCCAGGGCCCCCCACAGCACAGCCCCCCGGAACACACCTCCCCGGAGCATCCGCTGTAGGACACGCCTCGCGGCCATCCCGGGGGTGCACGGGCGCCTCCCCCCCGTCCCCAGCGCCTCACCCGCCCCAGGCCAGCTCCAAGCGCCCCCTCCCCCGGGGGTGGCTCCGCGGGGCCCACTCGTACGTGCCAGGCTCGGCGCCCACGGGCGGCCCCCGCGGCCCGGCCCGCGCGGCCCTTCGCTCGGGCGCCAGGTCCCGCAGGCCGCTGCCCGTCCGTCCCCCGCGCCCCCCGCCCGCGCCCCCCGCGCTACCTTCCTGCTGAGCCGCACGATCCGGTCCAGCTTGGGCTCATCCTGAAGCAGGTCCCGGAGCTGCCCGGTGCTGAGGATCCCAAAGCGCCCCGGGCTGCCGGGCTCCGGCCCCGCCCGCGCCGCCCGGGCCCGGTACATGCCGCCCGCCCGCGCCCCCAGCTCGGCTGCTGGCTCGGCCGGCTCGGCCCGCTCCGCCCCGGCTCCGCTCCGCTCCGCTCCGGCTCCGGGATCCGCTCCGGCTCCGGCCGCACGCGCCGCTCCGCCGCCAGGGGGCGCCCCGCCCGCTCTTAAAGGAGCCGCCGCGCCGGGGCTGGGGGTGGGGCTGGGAGGGGGCGGGCCGCACCCTCTCCACCCCGGCCGCGCCGCGCCGCGCCGCGCCTCGCGCACCCCGGGATCGCCCTGCAGCCCGGTCTTCCCGCCCCTCCCGGAATCTGAGCCGCCCCGCTCTGCGCCCCAACACAGGGTCCTGGCTCACCACGCCCCCAGGCACGGACTCTCCCACCCCGGGCGGTTACAATTTGCAGGGCCCGTGCATATTTTCCCCTCGGATGGCAGCAACAATTTTCTGACTTTGGCCAGACGCCAGGAGCTCTTGCCTTGCCGCCCTCCCCAAGCCTCAGTTTTCTCTTCTGTAAAATGGGATTGGAGATGGCGAGCGCAGACTGCTGGCCGGGTGCAGTGGCTCCCCAAAGATTTGGGAGGCTGAGAAGGGAGGATCGCTGGAGGCCAGGAGTTCGAGACCAGCCTGGACAACATAGTAAGACCCCCATCTATGTAAAAAAATTTTTTTAATTTGTCAAAAGAGTGAAAAGAAAAATTTAAAGAAGTATTAAAATGTTTTTAAAAAGTATCCATCTGGACAGGACAGGCGCAGTGGCTCACGTCTGTAATCCCAGCACTTTGGGAGGCCAAGGCAGGCGGGTCACGAGATCAGATCGAGACCAGCCTAGCCAACATGAAACCCTGTGTCTACTGAAAATACAAACAAAAAAAGCATCGGGATATGGTGGCACGCGTCTGTAGTCCAAGCTACTCAGGAGGTAGAGGTGGGACATCACTTGAACTCAGTTTTGAGACCAGCCTGGGCAACACAGCAAGATCCCGTCTCTAAAAAAATAAAATTAAAATGCTGAGGGATAGTGATATGGACAGTGATGGTATGGTGAATACCCACTATGCATTGTTATTTTAGAGATGCAGAAACATCACAGAGGCCAGGCATGGAGGCTCATGTCTGTAATCCAAGCACTTTGGGAGTTCGAGTCAGGTGGATCACTTGAGATCAGGAGTCCGAGACCAGCCTGGCAAACAAAAATTAGCCGGGCGTGGTGGCAGGCACCTGTAATCCCAGCTATTGGGGAGGCTGAGGCAGGAGAATCACTTGAATCTGGGAAGGGGTGGTTGCAGTGAGCCGAGATGGCACAGCTGCGCTCCAGCCTGAGAGACAGAGCGAGACTCTGTACTTCGTCTCAAAAAAAAAAAAAAAAGAAAAGAAAAAAACACATCACAGAGATAATGTCCCTCCCTAAAGTCACATTACAAGTAAGTAATACAGTCACATTTCTTCTCATCTGCGAGTGTCCACAGAGCATGTGATACCACTCTGCACTCGACTGCTGGCTTGAGCAGCCCTGTGGGGACGCTGTCCCTGCCCTCAGGGAGTTCATGGCCTAAGGCAGAGTCCCATTCCCACTCAACTAGCTCTAGTATAAGACAAATGGCAGGTGTCACCCCATGATGGCTTTGTGCTTCGCATTGATGCTTGATATGTCCTGTACCTTGTCCTTACAAGTAGGCTTAGCCATTGTCCTCCTCTCAGGAAATAGACACTCAGAAATTATAAGTCAGACAATGAGTGACCCAGCATGGGCAACAGGGTGAGACCCCCATCTCTGCCAAAAAACAAAAAATAAATTAGCTGGCTGTGGTGGCTCATGCCTGTAGCCCCAGCTTCTCAGGAGGCTGAGGTGGGAGGATCACTTGGACCCAGAGGGTTGAGGCTGCAGTGACCTATGATTTTGCCACTGCACTCCAGCCTGGGAAACAAGAGTGAGACCCCGTCTCAAAAAACAAAAACAAAAATGACAACTGAGTTTGTTCCACCTTAACACACTGCCACAAAAGTACAGAGAGCAATTAGGAAGGCTTACTAGTGGAGGTGGCATTTGAGCTAGGTTTCAAAGGTTGAATAGGAGTTCTGAAGTCGAAGGAGAAAATAATGGAAGCAAACAGAAATCCATAAGCCAAGGCACAGGGGTGGAAGAGCTGTGCAAGGACTCTTCCCATCCAGCCATAGCACGGTGGGTGGGCATGGTGCCAATGTCCGGGAGAGAAGGCAGGACAGGCTTGTTGACAGACTATGAAGGTAACACTTCTACATTTTTGTTTTGAGCCGGTGTCTCGCTCTTGTTTCCCAGGCTGGAGTGCAATGGCAAGATCTCGGCTCACCACAGGTTCAAGCGATTCTATTGCCTTAGCCTCCTGAGTAGCTGAGATTACAGGCATGCGCCACCATGCCTGGCCAATTTTTGTATTTTTAGTAGAGATGGGGGTTTCACCATGTTGGCCAGGTTGGACTGGAACTCCTGACCTCAAGTGATCCACCCATGTCAGCCTCTCAAAGTGTTAAGATTACAGGCGTGAGCCACCGCACCTGGCCCCCTTCATTTAATTTAGCCCTTATGCCTTGCCTTGTGGACTGCTCTTTGGTGCCATTATTTTCTCCTCCAACTTCAGAACTCCTATTCAGCCTTTGAAACCAAGCTCAAATGTCACCTCCTCCAGTAAGCCTTTCTGAGCTCCCCAGTTTGCTCTGCTTCCTCAGGGTCCATTGCACCCGGCCACACTCTTACATTTTTATGAAAACCAATATTGGCTTTCTCCTTCAAGACTCATCTGGAATATCACCACCTCCAGGAAGCCCTCTCCACCTTCCCAGGCTAGGATGTTAGTCCCTTGTCCTCTGGACTCACACAGTCCCTTCACTGTTTCTTTGTTCTTTTTAGACAGTTTCACTCTGTCGCCCAGGCTGGAATCAGCCACGTGATCTGTTTACTGTAATCTCTGCCACCCTGGTTCAAATAACTCTCCTGCCTCAGCCTCCCGAGTAGCTGGGATTACAGGCATGCACCACCATGCCTGGATAAATTTTTTTTTTATTTTTTAGTAGAGAGAGGGTTTCACCATGTTGCCCAGGTTGGCCTTGAACTCCTGACCTCAAGTGATCCACCGACCTCAGCCTCCCAAAATGTTGGGATTACAGACGTGAGCAACGAAGCCCGGCCCCCTTCACCATTTCTTTTAGCCCTCATGCCTTGCCTTGCGGACTTCCCTTTGGTTCCATTACTTTCTCCATCAACTTCAGAACTCCTATTCAACCTTTGAAACCCAGCTCAAGTGTCACCTCCTCTGGTAAGCCTTTCTGAGCTGCCAGGTTTGCTCTGCCTCCTCAGGACCCATTGTGTTCACTAAGTGTTCAGGGGTCTTCTAGATACTCCCTCTGTCAGCTCTCCCTGGGCCCCTCCCACTCTGTTACAAGCCTTCCTCCACCTAAAAGGCAGCGGTCAGCTCTAATGAGAGGCTCCTGCCTCAGCCTGCCCCCTCTTTCTCGTTGACCTCCCTTAGTTCCGCCTTAGTACCCCACAACAATGCCCCAGCAAACCTCCCGCAAGCTCCTCAGACACCCAAGCCCCCTTCTGCCCCTCAGCAGATAACTGTCCTGCGCATCCTGTAGAGAACTTTCTGCCAGTTCCTGTCTCCACATCTTGGCTTTTTTTTTGAAAGTCTTACTCTGTCGCCAGGCTGGAGTGCAGTGGCGCGATCTCGGCTCACTGCATGCTCCCCCTCCCAGGTTCAAGCAATTGTCCTGCCTCAGCCTCCTGAGTAGCTGGGGCTACAGGGCTGTACCACCACGCCCAGCTAATTTTTGTATTTTAGTGGAGATGAGGTTTCACCATGCTGCCCAGGATGGTCTCCATCTCTTGACCTTGTGATCCGCCCGCCTCGGCCTCCTAAAGGCTGGGATTACAGGTGTGAGCCTGCTTTTTTGTTTTTGTTTTGAGACAGAGTCTCACTGTGTTGTCCGGGCAAGAACAGTGGCTTCTTCATAGCTCACTGTAGCCTCGAACTCCTGGGCTCAAAGGATCCTTCAACCTCAGCCTTCCCGGTAGCTGTGACTTCAGACATGTGTCGCTGTGCCAGCTGATGTTGTACTTTTTTTGTAGGAATATGATCTTGCTATATTGTCCAGGCTGGTCTTGAACTCCCAGACTCCAGTGATCCTTGCACCATGGCCTCCCAAAGTGCTGGGATTATAGGATTACAGGTGAGAGCCACTGGACCTGACCTTTGCATGTTATTTTTTGTTGTTGTTGTTCTTGTGTTTTTTGAGAAGGAGTCTCGTTTTGTCCCCCGAGCTGGAGTGCAGTGGTGTGATCACTGCAACCTCCGCCTCCTGGGTTCAAGCGATTCTCCTGCCTCAGCCTCCCAAGTAGCTGGGACTACAGGCATGTGCCACCACACTCAGCTAATTTTTGTATTTTTGGTAGAAATGGGACATCACCATGTTGGTCAGGCTGGCCTCCAACTCCTGACCTCGAGATCCACCCTCCTCAGCCTCCCAAGTGCTGGGATTACAGGTGTGAGCCACTGAGCTGGCTGCATGTTCTTTGCCTCTGTCCAGAACCCTTCCTTCCCTCCTGCCTCCAGGAGGGACAACCTCTCTTCGTTCCAAAGCCGACCCAGGTACCCCCGCTGTGGATCTCACTTACACCTGTCTCCTTTACTCCTTTCAGATGCCTTGTGCCAGGCATCGTGGCCCACGCCTATAATTTCAGCAATTTGGGAGGCCAAGAGGGGCTAATCACCTGAGGTTAGGAGTCAAAACCAGCCTGGTCAACATGGTGAAACCCTGTCTCTACTAAAAATACAAACTACAAAAATTTGCTGGGCGTGGTGGTGCACACCTGTATTCCTAATTACTCAGGAGGCTGAGGCAGGAGAATTGCTTGAACTCAGGAAGCAGAGGTTGCAGTGAGCCAAGATTACACCATTGTGCTACAGCCTGGGTGACAGAGCAAGACTCCATCTCCCCCCTGCAAAAAAAAGATGCCTTGTTCCACTACACCAGTAATGAATCTGTGTGTGTGTGTGTGTGTGTGTGTGTGTGTGTGTCTGTCTGTATGCGTGTGTGTTTCACCTGTAATTTCTGCCTTTAGACTTCCGTCTCTCCCCACCCAATATTTTGAAAGTACCCTCTA